GTCGCTCCCCGACCCCTCATTCGATGCCCTGCAGTCCGCACCTGCGCTGTTACCCTAACCCTTCATCTGGTTGCACTGCGGTCCGCGACTGCGATGTCACTCCCTGACCCCTCATTCGGATGCCCTGCATTTGCGCCTGCGCTGTCGCTCCCCACCCCTCCCCTCTGTCATGCTCTAGTGTCTCTTTGTATTTAGTTAATGGCATTTGAAGTTTAGGATTGCAAGGTTTTTTCCTTGTGCTTTTTATGTATCATAGAATGTGTTAGGCATTATAAAAGCTACCTAGAAAACTGCTATTAGATGCAGGCAAGTGTCATTCTAGAGTGTCATGACTCTCATTCTAGGGAGTTAAAGTTAGAAAATGCCCTGCCACCAATACCTTCAGAACAGACCTGAGTCTTACTTGAAGGACAGCAGAACTTTACTAAGACCGCAAATTCATTCTTTCACTTGATTTTTGTTTTAAGACACAAGATCCAGTTTCCCCTCAGTCACTGGAGGATAAAAATGCAGATTAGTTTTATTTGCTGTTTATATTTTTTGATAGTGGATTGGGTATTTTATTTTTTTACTTTTACATTTTTATGTGTGTTTGGTCTGAGCGTATGTATGTACATTACATGTGTGCCTGGTGCCCACACGGGACAGAAGGCTTCAGGTTCCCTGGAGCTGGGTAACAGAGTTGTGCACCATTGTGTGGGAGCTGAGAAGCAAACCCAGGAAGAACTGCTCTTAACCACCGGGTCTTCTCACTAGTGCCTCATTCGGGCATCTTCAGATTACAGTGGCGGAGCTTCTGTTTAGTGTGTGATGTGTACAGAGGAGCACGTCATGCTTGCTGTGTTCTAACTTGTGGATTCTGCCCATGTCCGTTTGTCTCCGTCTCTCTGTGCGTGCGTGTCTTCTCATTACAGGGAGTCACGACACCACAATACGATTATGGGATCTGGTGGCCGGAAAGACAAGAGTGACACTGACGAATCATAAGAAATCTGTCAGGGCCGTGGTCTTACACCCGCGACAGTAAGTGCGTCTGCCAGTCAGCTTCTCTTTCTCTGTCTCAGTGAAACTCCCCACACCAGGACTGCAAAGCCGTCCTGCAGCCCGTGCTGCTTTTGGACAGAGTGCTCTTTGGAGTGAAGGAGGCAGTCCTTCCTCATAGTGACAGATAAGCCTGAGTCATGTGAGACCTGCACGGCAGTAGGAGGTGGTCCCTGCTGAGTACGTTTGGGACATACGGGGTAATGGACATACTCTTTATACCTGGCGTAGACTGGGGCGTGTATGCTGTCCTGAGACATCTGAGACAGACACAGAGTAGTTTCGTCCTTAAGGAGGAAGCTCATGTACGGGAGGGGAGATGGAAGAGGAACACAAGTCACAGCTGGTCCTCAGGTCAGGCCACCCCTACTCACCCCTGCTGGGCCCTCTCCTTCCCGTTACTGTCCCTTGTTTCCTTCTTTCCTTTCTCTCTCTCAAGCCTCCCCTCTCCCTTTCTCCAAGATTGCCATAGGGTTTTTTGCCCATTGCGTGTGCACATTTGTTATGCTAAGTCAGCGTAGAACACCAAAGAAATGAAACATTACTCTGGGATTTCAAATGTGTTTCCGCAGTTTGAAAGGCTGTTGGGCCTTGATATTGCTGAGCAGAGCTATTGATGATTTTGCACTGAAGTTGTCTGGACCAGTGAGCACAAGAGACTTCTCTGTTGGGACACTTTGTGATGCGGTGGACTTTCCCATGATCCCCTGTCGATCTTTATTCCAGTTACACATTTGCATCTGGGTCTCCAGACAACATAAAGCAGTGGAAGTTCCCTGACGGAGGCTTCATTCAGAATCTCTCCGGTCATAACGCCATCATTAACACGCTGGCGGTCAATGCCGACGGGGTACTTGTGTCTGGAGGTAAGGCAGGGTTTTATGCTGTGTTGTTTGCCCTTTTGTTGAAGTGGGGGAGCTCGTGTCGTTCCTACGGCACACTGGACTGGGGTCTGTGCATGCTCACCATGTCTTGATAACCCATGCAGCGTGTTGTGCAGTTAGTCCTCTCTGAATGCCCATGTGAGGAAGGTAGGGGTTATGCTAGGAATTGTCCCGTGTTTGGTTGGATTTCAAATGTTATGAATTAAACACAAATGAAAGTAGCCAAAATTTTATTAGGGAATTTGAGTGAGTGTGTGTATGTCTGTCTTTGTAGCACTGATGTGATGGATGTTTAGCTCCCGGGTCACCTGAGCTGTTGAAGGGATAGAAACCTAACCACGCCTTCCCTTCACAGCTGACAACGGCACCATGCACCTTTGGGACTGGAGAACTGGCTACAACTTTCAGCGAGTCCATGCAGCTGTCCAGCCTGGGTCTTTGGACAGTGAGTCAGGAATATTTGCTTGTGCTTTTGATCAGTCGGAAAGCCGGTTGCTAACGGCAGAAGCTGATAAAACCATTAAAGTTTACAGAGAGGACGAGACCGCGGTAAGTGCTGCTTTCCATGTATGCTTCTTGCTTTCCGCTTTTTAGATTTCATCTAATTGTGTGCTTTGTAGAGACAGGGCTTCACATTGTATCTCTGGCTGGCTTGTCACTCACTTTGTAGCTCAAGTTGACCTTAGGTTTAAAGCAGACTTCCAGCCTCTGCCTCCCCATTCAGTGATTGTGGGCATGAGCCACCACCCAGCTTTTTACAGCCTTTAAATAGTAAAAGAGCTGCCGCGCCAGCTTAGCGGGGCTTCTCACTTGATTGCAGAGAGAGGACTCCTTACAGTACTGAGGGACTTGGCTTCTGTGTGATTCAGTGATGCTGGTGGCTCCGTTGTTAGATTACTTTTAGACCCAGTTCTCTGTCAGTACAGTTACTGGGGAAACGATACATTCTAGTAGCAACTATTGGATTTCTGTGGAAATGAAGTCTGGACTCACAGCCTTGGTGGGGGTGTAATATCTAAACAGAAATCTGACTTTGAGGTGAAAACTCCAAACTGAACGTGTGGTAAACCCGTTCCTCCTTTATTAGACTGGATACTGCCAGAAGTTGGTCAGCTGTTTTTAAAATCCTCAGGATCCATTAAACATACCCTGCCAAGTAGTGTGGTTTAGCAAAGACAAGGTCTTCTTGTGGGAAGAAAACAAACTGATAAAATAACACTGTGTTTACTGTTCTGTGTTTTAGACAGAAGAAACTCACCCAGTCAGCTGGAAACCAGAGATTATCAAGAGGAAGAGATTTTAGTGGGCACTGTCTTCATGGCTGTCCCTCTGTTCCTAGCTTGGCGTTGATGCGGAAGTCACTGCTGCTTTGTACTTTACAATAAACTGCTCCCTGTGCCCATCAGCTGTGTTTATTTCTGAAGTAGACAGCTAAGTGAAGTGCAGCCATCAAGAACAATGGTTCGTTGGTCATTGCTGTTTCTACCGTGCTGCTCTGGCAGGGTTTGTTGTTGTTTGTTTTATGTCTATAGCTGTTCTTTATGTATGTACGTGTGCAGTCAGGAAACGAGTCCAAGTGAAACCGCCCTGAATTTGAGCAGTTTCAAGTTCTCAGGTCGCATCCTGATGCTGTTGTTGGGTGTAGTAGTTTTCCAGGGCTGACGGAAACTCCTGGAATCCTTTGTCCTCTTTCCTTTCTAGGAAGAATCCGACGCATGCACCCGAGTGCATTGTACACTTGAACTAGTGTTTCCTTTAGAGAATACTGAGAAATGTCAGTTTATTAGGGCAAGGTTACGGAGATTACTTATGTAAAATGTATAAACATTTTTGTAAACTAATGAATGGGTACTCAAAATTAACAACGTCACATCAGATTGACAACAATGGCTTTGTGAGGTGAGGTAATGGGATTACTGGAGACTATTTAGTCTGCTTTATATATTTTGGTTTTCTTCAATTCTTAATGCATGTATTTTATAAACCAATACTAGGAAGAAAATCAGCATCCTGGAGAAACAAACATGTCTCAGAAGAAAGCAAAACCAGTGATATCTAGTCCCTATCTTGGGATTTCTGTGCTGTGATGAACACCGTGACCTAAGAGCAAGTTGGGGAGGAAAGGGTTATTTGGCTTACACTTCCATTCCTGAAGGGAAAGAAATCAGACAGGACAGGGGCCTGGAAGCAGGAGGTATTCCAAAGGGCATGGGAGGATGCTGCTCAGCCTGCTTTTTATAGACAAGCAGGACCGCCACCCCAGGTAAAGCCCCACACAGAATAGGCGGGGTCTCTCCCATCTATCACTAGTAAAGAAATGTACTCTACAACCAGATCTTATATGGCCATATTTTCAGTTGAGGTTCCTTCCTTTCAGATAATTCTAGCTGTGTCAAGTTGACATAAAACTAGTCAGCACAGTCCCTAAATGACAAGAAGGTGGGTGTGTCCCTACCGTCCTGCCCAGTAAGGGTTCGGCTGCTGTGTCGACCCAGGAATCCACTGAAGGAGCACTTGTAGAAGTGAGCCTTGTGCTGTCCTGTGTTATGTGGCAAAGGTTTTCACAAAGTGTTCTCTGTAATACATGACCATGAAACTTCAAAGCGTTCAGAAAAGGGTGCCCCAAGCTGGAAGGCAGAATGGGGGTGCGTGACTGAAAACTGCTGGCACACAGCTGGTACTGAGCCACGAGCCCCTGTTGTGTAAGCCGGTCCAGTGAGTCCTGTGATACGTGTTCTCCACTGGCTGCTTCTCTGGAGACCCTGCATGGAGACAGATGTTCTGCGTTTCCTTTGCTTCAACTGACTTGTACTTGGAACTGCCACTAAGGTTCATCTCGAGGGGAGAGAGGAGCATGACCCTAGCTGGAAGCTAGGGGCCTGGCGAGGGTCTGTCTTTTGTTGTATTCCCAGACATTGTCACATCACAGAACACAGTGTAAAAGGATAAAAGTCCAAATGACTGTCATTCTTTCATGTAGAATTATAACCTAGATGAGTGAGTTGATTTAGATTCTTCTATTTTTGGCATTAATGTTGAGGACTTCTTTTAGGGTAGGCAAACACCAAACAAAAATTACAGTAGAAAGAGCAATGTGATGTTTATTAAAACAAGCAGTGAGTTCCCAATCGGTGTCCCACTCTTGTTACCACGGGAGTGCATTCTGACCAGCCTTCAAGGACCCTCGTGGGGTTCCCAGAGGGTGACAGGATATAGATTCTGAAAATAGTCAGGGTTATTGCTAAATAGAAAAAAAAATGGGTGTGGGCATAGGCCGCAGAGGGGGTTCACATGGCAGATGGTGCCCTGTTGGAAGAGGGCCTTGTGTGCTGAGCTAAGGGCTTTGTTCTTCATTTTTCCAAGGGTTTGGCAGGTAGAAGTTATCCAGGGTCACTGCAACAGAGGAGAGAATCAGACTTAAGCATATATATATATATATGCCAGATTAATGGATGAGATGTCTCAGAAGTATAGTTGGCTTTCTGTGTCCTCAGTTACATAATCATAAATCCAAACAATCAGATTAAAAACTGCCTCTATCAAGTATGTGCAGGCTTTCTTTTTATTATCATTCTCTAAATAATGTATTTTAGCAACAGCTCATGGAACAAGCACATGGCATTAGTCACTGTAAGCCATGTAGAGATCAGTGCTCAAAGGGCATGGGAAGATGCCCACAGGTTCTGTGAAAACACTGTTTTACATAAGGGCCCCAGCATCCTAGGACCACCTTGCTGAAGATGGAATTAGAGGCAGCCCCTTCCTAGGGCACAGGAGGCAGTGTAGAGCAGAGAGTCTCAGCCTTGGAACAACCCAGCCAAGGTGCTCCTAGCCCGGGAGATTCTATTGCCTGCAGCCTTCAGTCTCTGGCCAGACCCCTTCGGCCAGCATTCATCCCTTTTCTAGTTCTCTGCAGGGAGATTTTTCTCTCCTAAACAGGCTTGGTCACAAGTCCAAAAGTGTTCTGTTTGTCAAATATATTAATGTCATACTCGTCAACAATTGAGGGAGAATGCTCTATTTTGTGAATAAGGCCTTGTAGTTTTGTGCCTCTCTCTCTCTCTCTCTCTCTCTCTCTCTCTCTCTCTCTCTCTCTCTCTCTCTCTCTCTCTCTCTCTGTGTGTGTGTGTGTGTGTGTGTGTGTGGTGTTCCCCCTTTGCCATGCCATGTGGGTTTGTTACAATTTCTAGACATGCATTTGGAGATTTAAATGATTTTTTTTTTCCCTCTGTGTAAGAGCCCTAACTGTCCTGGAACTAGCTCTTGTAGACCAGGCTGGCCTCAAACTCAGAGAGATCCGCCTGCCTCTGCCTCCTAAATTCTGGGATTAAAGGCATGCACCACCACCACCATGCATAAATGTGTTGTTTTCTTAGCCAGGTACTTAGGATGTTCCCCTTCTCTCTATTTGGACAGCCCTTGTTTTCACTGAAGAAACACACCATTTCCCTGGTTCATTTGTTGTTACAAGTACCAATAACCTTGATCTTTGTATTATTTCCAAAAGACAATAGCATGCAGAATAATCGTAGATTCAACATGCCCAGCCTCACTATTTCTCGTGTGTAGTATACAGTCATACCGCACCAGACCGTTCCTGAATATACACTGATTCCATATCGTAATTCCTCTGAAACGTGCTCCATTCTGTAAATGAATTGAGAGGTAAAAATTCCACTTCACCCAAAGGGTTGCATGAGACATTCTCAATGTCTGATGACAGGAAAATCTGTTGAGAAAATATCCAACAACTTGAGGGCATTTAAACACAGTTCAGAAAAAGGAAAAACTTATTTGGGGATTTCCTTAAATTTTTGAAATCTGTTTTGAAGTTATCCCATTGTTTGGTAATATCACCCTGATCATGCCTAGTCTGTGAGGTGGTTAAAAATAATACAGATTATTTGCTCAGAATACTTTTCTTTTGTTTGTTAAACATACAGCATTGCAGCCATGATATCTACACACGACCTACATGAAACTGGGTCCCACAACAGCTCACTGAGAATGGGGGAGATCTAAATGGTCAGATGAGCTTCACACCATGACTGACGTTCAGCGCTGACTGGGGGAAGGAGCAACACCTTCTTCAGTGGGGTAGCCACTGGTTAGCCAGCTATGTTCCGTAAATGACTTCACATCCATGCTCAAGGGGCAGCTTTAATTAAACGGTGGATCACATCCAAGACAGGAAGATAAGAACCTGGGGAGAAGTGGGATTTTGGAAAGAGAGGGAGAAGGAAATGAGAAGAGAAAATAGCCAAAATTCATTCTGTGCATGTATAAAATGCTCAAAGAATAAAAAATTGAAAAATACGACATGGTTGAGATATTATTCACATGGAGTTCAGTACCCACTTCAAATACGTAGTCCAGCAGGTTTTAGGAAATTCACAAAGTTAGGCTACCATCACCAAAGTAGTTGTGGGGTATCTGAAATGTATTTGCTTACTATTTTAATTGTGTATGCGTGTGCACCCATGACACAGTACACATGTGGAGGCCAGAAGAAAACTCCTCCCACCTCTATAGATTGTTAGAATGGAACTTAGTCACCAGGCCTGTTAGCCATCTCTTGAAGACAGAGTTTCTCTGTGTCTTGGCAACTGCTCGCAAATAACCATACTGAGATTTATCAATTATAAATGCTCAGCCAATAGCTCAGTTTGTTACCAGATAACTCTTACATTTTAAGTTAACCCACATTTCTTATCCACACTCTGCCATGTTTGTGGCTTGGTACCTTTTCTCAGTCTGTCAAGTCCTTCTCCTCTCCACATCCCCTCACCGTTCTCAGAATTCTGTCTTCTTCAAGCTCTCCTTTGTCTATAAGTTCTCCTAACCTCTACCTGCCCAGCTATTGGCCAGACAGCTTATTTATTAAACCAACCACAGTGACATATTCCTTTACATTCCACAGTCCCTCCCATGCCCCCACTGCTCTCTGTCTTAGTCAACCACTAATCTGAGTTTGTCACCCATGGATGTAGTAGGATGCTGCTTGTTCATCCTGGCTGCCCAGAACCAAAATAATCACACAGAAACTGTATTAATTAAATTACTGGCCCAGTAGCTCTAGCTTCTTATTGGCTAGCTCTTACACATTAATTTAACCCATTTCTAGTAATCTGTGTATCACCACATGGCTGTGGCTTACCAGGTAATGTTCCAGTGTCTGTCTCCAGTGGGGTTACATGACATTTCCCTGACTCTGCCCTTCTTTTTCCCAGCATTCAGTTTAGTTTTCCCTGCCTAGCTGTGTTCTACCCTATCAGGCCAAGCCAGTTTCTTTATTAACCAATGGTATTCGCAGCTTACAGAGGGGAATCCCACATCACATGGATATGTTGGTCCTGGCATCTCCTTGGAGTGGACTCATGAATATAGTCTTTCTTTCCTGCCTTATTACTCTTGGACAGTATTTTCAAGGGTTATCCATTTTCAAGGTTCATCATGGAGTGTTGATTGAGGTTTCTGTTCCACCTGGTTCCCACAGTCATTAAGTTCCAAAGAAATCACACAGAGGTCTACATTAATTATAAACTGATTGGTCTATTAGCTCAGGCTTCTTATTAATTCTTACATCTTACAATAACCCATTATTCTTATCTGTGTTAGCCACGTGGCTTGGTACCTTTTTCGGTGAGGCAGTCACATCTTGCTATCTTGCATCCTCTCTGGCTGGGTCACGACTACAGACTGAAACTTTCCTCTTCCCAGAATTCTCATAGCTCCGCCTCTACTTCCTGTCTGATCACCCAGCCTATACTTCCTGCCTTGCTCCTGGTCAATCAGCATTTTATTCAAAATAATACAAGTGACAGGATAACAGACCCTTGTTCCACAGCAATGGAGTGCTCCTTTTTGAGATTAACCTGTTCCCTTGCCTGCTGTGTGCCTCTCCACCCAGTATTTGGTGGACTTTTTGAGTGAATAGACATTTATATGTTAAAATAAACCACATAATAAACTCTGCTAGGTGGGCTTCTGATGTGTTTAGAAGAAAGACCCTAAACTATTTAGCCCTCCTAACTTGTTAAGCAAGTTAAATACTAGCAACAGACTGAGCCGCTCTAATGTTCTGTGTTGTAAAGGACAGGCATTGTTTCCCCTCAGTTTTTCAGAAATTAAGAAATAAAGTTGTCAAATAAATAATACATTTTTAGGAAATGGGCAAAAGCTTGGGGTTACACAAAGGGCACATTGTATCCAACTACCATTCATGAACTACATGTAGGTAGGAAACAGTCATATAAAACGTCTTTTAACATTTTGCTGTAGCTAATGTCTTCAGAAGCAATGTGCTTTTGCCTTTCTAAATATATTAGTAATGATAACTATGGTAGAAACCAATGTTCATAACACACTTGCTGTATGCCTGGCATTATTCCAAATGATTTTACATATATTAGCACATAATACTTAAAACTAAAACCAGCTACATAATTTGCACGCCTCAGAGCAAAATGAAAATTCAAGGCCTGCTGTTTGCAAACCAGACAGACGGTGCCATTAACAGTAGGTCCTACAACATAAAGCTTCCTCCCTTTTTTTCTGATGCTGTTATTTTATTTTTTTTTTTGGTGTGCTACTTAACATTCTAAATAAAAATAAAAAATAAATATCAGCATGAATCTTAACATTTATCTTTACATCGTGCAGAGTTCATTTAAATGCAAATATAAGCACTTAATTTAAATGCAAGCCCACCAAACTTTCAATTTGTATCCCCAGCTCATATGTGCCGATGCATTTTTGTGTTTGCCAGAATGGTAGGATATGCACCAAAGTCAGTGGTTTCTTCCCCAACAACGTCAGGATGCTAAGCAAGTACTCCACTTGCCAAGCTGATCTCCCAACCGATACTGCATCTCTGTTCAGCTGACATGGAGGTGCTGGGTCACCGGTGGCCAGGAAAGCTGGAAGAGAAGGGGACAATGAGAGTTTAGTGTTTTCCCGTCTCCTTCCAGGTCATCGTTGTCAGCCGAAGTGGTTAGTTACTCCGGGAAGTTATATATATATATATATATATATATATATATATATATATATATATATTATATATATATATATATTAATGTGGTGTGTTATGTGTGTAAATCTGGGTGTGTGTGAGTGCAAGTTCCAGAGGGCACCAGAGGCATCAGATCCCCCTGGGACTGGAGCAGTTGGTTGTGAACTGCCAGATATGAATATTCAGGACCAAACTATGGTTCTCTGCAAGAGCTGTATGAGTCCTTAACCACTGAGCCATCCTCCACTCCCTGGGAAGCAATCTCAACTTCCTGTCTTCTCTTTCTTTTCTCTCTCTCTCTCTCTCTTTCTCTCTCTCTCTTTCTGTCCCCCCCCCCCCGGGGGACACACACACACACAAGAATATGTTGGACCTTCAATAATTGTTTTCAAATGTATGGATGCCTTCCATATAACAGAATGCCAAACTTTCCCCTCTCTTGACTTAGTTCTTTCATTTATATTCTCGGGTCTGTTTGTAGAAATGTCAAACACAGAGCAATTCTGGGGTGTGCAGATTGTTGCCAAGTATGAAACTGCCTCTTTCGTTTTAGGCAATGGGCATGTACACACATGTCTAGAAGTCCTTGGAAAGGCCTCTGAGAGGGAACTGGGGAGGTGCTAGCCCAAGGTATGAGCTTCCAGCTGTGAGATGAGAAAGTTCCGGAGCAGTGGGTGTTGACATTGCAAATACTTCTAACAATGTTCTGTGCACTTGAAGTCACCCAAGAGAACAGATCTTAGGGATTCTTACCGTACAAAACGTGACTATAGAACTGGAGATGTGGCTCAGCGATTAGGATCACTGGCTCCGGCTAGAAAGATGGCTCAAAAGTTAAAAGCACCAGCTGTTCTTCCGGAGGTCCTAAGTTCAAGTCCCAGCAACCACATGGTGGCTCACAACCACGTATTATGAGATCTATTGCCCTCTTCTGGTGTGCAGTCAAACATGCAGATAGAACACTGTATACATAACAAATAAATAAACAAACAGATAAATAAATAAATAAATCTTTCCTTGTTTGTTGTTTTGTTTTTGAGACAGGGTTTCTCTACAGCTTTGGAGCCTGTCCTGGAGACCAGGCTGGTCTTGAACTCCCAGAGATCCACCTGTCTTTGCCTCCCCAGTGCTGGGATTAAAGGTGTGTGCCACCACCACCCGACAATAAATACATCTTAAAAAAAAAAAAAAGAGCTGGCTTCTTTTCCAGACCAGCTGGGTTCAATTCTCTGCACCCACATGGCAGCTCACAACTTTCTGTAATTCTAGTTCCGGGGGATATGATGCTCCCTTCTGGCCTCTGTGGGCACTGCATGCACTTGGTGCATAGACATACCTACAGGGAAAACATCCATAGACATTAAAAGAACAACTGTTTCCTAGGTGGTGGAAATAGTAATGAGACTGATAATGTCACAGTGCATATGTATTAAGTCCCATATGCTTTTAATACACACATTTTACTTCTCAATTGTCCCTCAGTACAGCTGATCTTAAACAATTTTTTGAAGTGTGTTCAAGCACCACATTTTAGTTCCTTCACAATTCTGCAATATTTATGAATAAACCTGTTTTGGAAGCTATACTGGAATGTGATTGTCTAATGATTTTAATGTATCAAATAGAAATATTGGTAAGAACTGCCTATTTGGGTTTAATTTAGTAAAAATTGGAACTCCAAATTTCTCTTTCTTTGGTGAAGGGAGGACAGAAAACACACTTCTTACCCGATTTAACAATCAGCATTTTCCTGTTCCAAACATATAGGACCCCAGTGTTACACCTCGCCTGTTCTGCTCCATGAGAAGGGAGGGAGACAACTCTGATGAACGCCAAAGATTTCAGTAACTCACCGCATACGGGGGTCACTGTCCAATCAGCGGTGCCAGACAAGGACTCGGGAGACTTGTTTCTCCTGACAGTCCTGAGCAGGGGCAGAAGCAGGGTTTACAAGTACATAAACCACCAACATTGTTGCCAAGTTACAGCTACAATTTTCACCAGTCAGGATTTAGAGATTAGGGGCTTCCTTGTGTGTTCCATCATTGTCAGTTGATAAACAACGCAAGGCTTTCAGCCCAATCAGTCAGATCCATTTGTTCCGTCTGTGGCCAGAAACAGCCATGGCGCTGCTAAAGAACTAAAAACACATAATGACAATGTCTATGGTTTAGGGAGGAGGTGGGTCAGCCATTGGAAGGTTCACAGCTTCCCTAGGGTTTAGGAACCTGAGTTTTATTTCACTCTGCAGGTAAAATGGAGTCTGAAGTCAAAATGGCAGTTCTCAGGCTAAGGCTAAGGTGGTTTTGCCTGTTCCCTTCACCCAAACTCTTCCTTAACTCTGCTTGATTTTTATTTCCTCATGGATCACTGTGTGTGTGTGTGTGTGTGTGTGTGTGTGTGTGGAGAGAGAGAGAGAGAGAGAGAGAGAGAGAGAGAGAGAGAGAGAGAGAGAGAGATCAGCCCAGGCTTACTTGCTACATAGTTAATTTACCATCCTTCTGCCTCTGCTTCCCCAGTGCTAGAATTGCAGATGTCCTGTTTTGTGAGAACTTGGGATTTATCCAGGGCTTCCTGCATGTTCGGTAAGCTCTCTGAAACCTGTTCCCGGTCCTCATATGTCCCTTCTGTTTTACAGATTCTTTTTCTATTATCTGGTTCCCCGATACATTAGTTATTTTTTTCTTGCTACTGTGATTGACGTCTAACAAGAAACAAGCCGGCCCTCATGTTACAAGCATCCTAAGGAAGGGAAGATGTGCTTGCACCTACAGTTTAGACGGATCCAGTCCACCAGGGTAGGGAAGGCATGGATGGAGTCAGGAGATGAGGCAGCTGGTCACATTGC